TCCACACATTTCTTAAACAAATGGGTGATCAAATAGAAGTATAAATTGAAAAGATCTTATTAAGTCATCGACTTACGTGATTCATGAAATAAATTTAGATTGTGTATCATTGTGAAATAATTGGAATATTTTGAAAATACTCCTCACAGTTGTAAGATGCACGTGCTCAGATAACTGACACGAGTAGAATAGATATGGAAGACTTAATCCCGATAAGCGTATATAAAATTTGGTCAAAACTGACGCGCGTGTAATTGACTGCCTTTTATATCTTTCTTCTTCCCGTGAGCTGGTAATTTTTAGCTAATTAAGCTTCTATTGCCATAGACATTGGATCTTACGCGACTATCGTAGGCCACACAGACTGCAAAAGTTTATTACGTATACACAAGTGTGAAACAGAAACGAAATTTCATTGTTCTTATAAGAAATTCCAAGTGTAATTGAACAGTCATCAGATGTAAGATAATGTAGGAAGAAAATGTAAATGAAATGGAAATTGGGAATTTTTTTCTGCTTCGAAGAAAAGACGATTAAAATAGAACTTTCTTTAACTAAAAGTGAAAGACTGAAATTTAAAATTTAATCGAGCCGACGACGAAAATAAAAATTGACATGTCAAGAATTCAAGACTGATAAAACGCACATTTAACTCTAAAATTATCGACGACTAAAGTACAAAATGTACTTGTATCAAAGAAATGATGGCGCAATAGCAAGAAAGTTTAGAATATAAAAAAAAAAGGTTATACATATTTTATCTAAGTCGTAAAGAAATAAAATTTTTATGAAAAATTATCTACGTAATTGGCCATTTTATCAGTTCCAGTGCTACATTCGTCGACGATCGAGTTTGCCTACGGGGTATAATCGGAGTTTACAAAACAATGCCATAACGCGGTGAGAAATCTGGAAATGTCTCTGAAGACACCTCGAGAGACCAACGTAGCAAAGAGAAACTGGCGTATTTCTCAATTATCGAATCCGTCTATCAAGTCTCTCGTTCCCTTTTATTGCTCCGTCCAGTCAAGGATTCTCGATCGAAAATCTAATTAGTTGTCAGGTTGCCTTGTTAAAATTTATACCTTAATTACCCGTTCGAGCCGCGTCCCGGCCGCGAATGAAAATAAATGGACCCGACACAATTCCAGTTGGTTTCGCTACTCTGAATAAGGACGCCCGAGGATTCCGTGTACAAAGGAACTCCTCCCTCCTTCTTTCTCTTTTACTCGACATGTCTTCCTCTCTCTATCTTCGGTCCTCTGTCCTTCTGTCCTACCTGTGGCGGAATTTCGGCAGAGAAGAGAAAATCCAAGGGGACCGTCTGATCTGGAAGGTAGAGCAGAGAGCGGCGTTAAAGGACTTTGTATTACTTTTATCAGCGAATAAAGATGATAGACGCGAACAACGTCGTAGAACCGACCATTTATTAACCCCTTCGCGGCACTGAACCGTTCTTTCGTTGCTGGACTCGCATTCCTCGGCGAGATTTTTTTTTTTTTTTTTTGTTCTTCTTGGGAGAAATTTCTTACTTACCTGTGAAAGCGAGGTGAGGCAGAGATTGGAATTTCGGTATTTAATTGCAATTTGGCATAAAAATGACGCGCTCGGTGAAACAGAGAGCAGCGGGCTGGTCGAGTATTAATAAAATTATGTATATTGTATTAATTGTTAATTGGATTTAAATTGTGTTCTTACGTCTTGAACCTTCTTCTGTTCTGTTCCTGGAAAAGTTGATTTCTAACGACTTTGAATTTTAACGTGTGCAAGTAGACTGTGGATCTGTATGAATTTTAAAATTTTTACCGGCATAATTACAGCAATAGAACTGGATATTTCCTTTTCTTTTTGCACTTTTTAACTTCTGGCATTTAAAAATCCGCAATTTAAACTCGATGGTAATGCAATTCCAACTGATCTGAATATAAACGAACGTTACTGATTAAACTGAACGCTAAATCCAATTAGATCTCTATTTATTAAATATATCTGTAACATTTTTTTTAATAAACGGAAGTGTGAAAAAATGGGAACTCAAAGGAAGTATAAAATTAATAGGAGAATGATCCTCGGTTACAATTGCAGAGAAATAAAACTAAATTGCAAATGAATCAGTAAACCATAAACGATAATTGTTCGCCATAAAATTAATACAATGGAAACACATGATATGTCGCGTTCCAATGTTTGCCAGAAAAGAGGAAGAGAAAAACGAAGAAAGAGGAACATGTACAAAACGTAGAGGAAATTTATGTAAAAGTTAGGATATAAGAGTTATCATGATCGAAAGATGCGGCGTACTGAAGAATTTAATGCATCAAATCGCACATTTACTCGCCATAAGCGAGAGTCAAGCGGCAAAAACTGTAAAAATTGCAGGATACGTTAATTAGGTCGGAAGTAAATTAATAATAATGTCGGTTCCACCATATGTTATAGCTAATCGTGTACTGACGCTTTCAACTCGTTGCACGGACACTGTTGCATGCATCCAGCGCAAAAAGATCACCTCCATTGCCATTTTAAATTCAGCATACGATAACGTTAAGAAGATTCTATACATTATCTTAATTTCATTTGAAATGTAACTCGTAGTTCGTTTTGATTTAGAGGAATTTTTACGCAATTAACAAGTTGATGCATTGGGCGTTTATACAGATACGAATGAAATACGTTGAGCTATCGCGAAGCCACAACACTATCTTGCTTTTTTTATTTAATATTTTTTCCACGATCACGTTTTTTATTATAATATCTTCTTAAATTTAACACGAGGGGATAAATATATGACGGCGATGATGGATGATTTTCTTATTTTTAAATTTTAATTAAACTCATTCTTAACCCTGGTTGCAGTCCTTGAATTTTTATATCTGCACGACGAAGCAAGAAGATACTATATTTCATGTATTTAAAGAAGAAACGACTATAGAAAAAGATTGAAGCGGAACCAATAGCGCGTACCAATAGCTATAATGTCATTCGATTGCTTCTTAGAAGAATTGAAAAAAAAAATTTCTCAATACGAGAATGAAAGTACCTTTTAATCGAAGCACGGTTAAATGCGCTCATACTTTGGTATATCGCGTTCACAGACGTAAAACTGAGAATCCCATATTAATCTCGATGAAGTTATCGAACGAAGTTATCGCACAGTTCTCTGATTGATATCGATTGTGTTTGTCCGTCAGTAACTCCCAATCTCAGTAAGGAAAAAAGGAAAGAAAAAAAAAAAAA